AGAGATAGAAAGCGAGAAATCCCCCCCCAGGGGGGATGGCCATGCCGCAATCCCTTCTCCTCCATTCTCCTCTCGGGTCTTGGGCATGCACACACACACACATACCCGGCATGAGTTTTAAGCCACCAGGTCCGGGACGTGAACCACGGTCGACTACATGAGAGTCCAGCGACATAGCTATTACACTAACTGCTGGTCCCCCATGGTTGTTGATCTTGACAGTTATTTTCACCTGTGTCTTTACTAACGCCGTCACCTGCCTGTCTGTGGTTTTCCTGTAGCTGTGCGACCCCACTCTGCACCGGAATACAAGGACGAGACCATGACCGTTTACCAGGTCCCCATATACGGTGAGTGCAAACGCCAGATTTCCTAGCAGAAGGCGCAAGAAAGAAAGAAATGGGGTGAAAGCAGAAGCAGGTTGGATCTTGCTTCAGGTAGCCTGCCTTGTTCTGAGCACAATTAGGAAGTTTAACTGAGGAATTAAGATGTGGTTTCTGCCCCTAAGGAGCTTATAGTCTTATAGGCAGATGCTTAACTCATGTCTGATGAAGGCGATTATACTTTAGAATACTTCCTACTTAAGAGCTGTCAGAAGATAGACTACTCAGATTTGCACATTCGTTCCTTCAGGTTTATGTGCCACAGATTTTGACAAGAAGATTCTGGAGAGGTTTGCCCAGATACATTTCCTTAAATAAAACACTAATAACAAGCGCCCTATAAGAAGTCCCATCAGGTGGGCAGAAGCTTCTGCACACCCCATCAGGTACCAGGGCCAGCTGACATGAAACAGATAGAGCAGACTGCTGTCCTTGTCATCCTTGAGTTTGGCTCAGTGCTGCCCATGTCAGTTTCAGCTATACGTGCAGAGAACTCTGAGCAGTAGGGAGGTCTCCTTGGTGGTGCCAGCCAGTACGATGCTCGCCAGGTACCGAAGGCCTGCAGAGAGTGAGCTGGCCAAGGCCAGAGAAGTCCAGAGCCTGACGGAGCGATGAGGCTTGTTATGCTGACTCACGGGCGGAGGGCCAGGGGCCAGGGTGTGGGTCCAGTGAGGGCACAGGTGCCTTTATGCCAGGAAGACAACTGGGCTGATGGAGCACTTGCTGCCCGACGCACTCTTGGTCTGGCGTCTTTTGTCTGGCCCCACGTCCTGACGTGTGTCCCTCCGTCCTTCCTCTCTAGGACTTGTCCTTCCTTCGTAGCGTGTCACGGTTTATATTTGTGGGGTCGATGCCTCCTTGCTCATTTCTGTTGGTGATTATTTTCCCATGGCCCCAAGGAATCGGGTGCAGGGAGGAACAAGCAGGGGTTCGGTGACTCCAGCAGCAGTGCTTTAGCTCCTTAGAGCAGTGGGTTTTTTTCATTTCTGCTTAATTACCAGAGGAGATGTGCACTGACCAGAGACGAGAGGGAGAGACACCTCTGTGGGGCGTGGTCACTGCAGTCCTCTCTCCTCCATTTCTCCATCCTGTTGGAACGATGGCTATGCGTGGACACATGTGCACATGCATCTGATGTGTTTTCAGTCTGCTGGGCCAGGATTTGAACCACACTCAGCCATGTAGGATCTGGCTGCTTCTAACCACTAGGCCACAGGGCTTGCCTGAATGTTTTTCTTGACCTTGAGACTTAACTAACTACATCGTTAGGTTCCTTCTCTTGGAGATAGCTCCTCTTTGGACCTACCTTTGTTAGTTTTTTCTTTTAGAATTATTTTTTATTTAACTTATTTATTATAAAGAATTATTTGATTTAACTTTATTTACTTATTTGTTATTTAATTTGACCAGAGAGGGACAGAACGAGAGAGAGCAAGAGAAAGAGGGAAAGTGAGAAAGCAAACTGCCAGGCTCAGGACTTGAACCATGGTCAGCCATGTGGGAGTCCAGCGTCTTTAACCACCACGCCATCTACTGGCCTCTTAACCTTATTTATTTATTTTGTTAATTTGACCAGAGAGGGACAGAGTAGACAAGTAAGAGAGAGAGAGAAAGTGAAAAAGCAAACGCCAGGTCCAGGACTCGAACCGTGGTCAGTCTTGTGGGAGTCCAGCACCCTTAACCACCACACCATCTGCCTGTCCCCCTACCTCTGTTAGTGATGAATAAGCCAGCCCATTCTTCCTGTGTGATTTCTTTCTTTCTTTCTTTCTTTCTTTCTTTCTTTCTTTCTTTCTTTCTTTCTTTTTTATTTATTTATTTTTTGAGAGGTTTTTGCTGTTAGGGCGCATACGCTCGCCAGAAAGACAGAGACAGAAAGCAAGAAATCACCCTCCAGGGGGGATGGCCACACTGCAATCCTTCTCCTCCATTCTCTTCTCAAGATCTTGGGCATGCATGTACATGCGCCCATTGTGAGTTTAAGTCACTGGGTCCGGGACTCAAACCGCAGTGGACTACATGGGAGTCCAGTGACAAAGCCACTATGCTAACTGCTGGTCCCATCTTTTTTTTTTTTTTTTTTTTTTATCACTTTTTTTGTATGC